GAGAGCGAATATGATTAAAATATATCATTGTGTCTTCATCCGTAAATTGTATGAGAAAATGTTTTAATAACATAACGGGATAAGATGTTTTAGGATGATATATATCACTAACCGAATAACGTTTAAGTAAACTTACCTAAAGATAAGATCTCTTAATGTGGTAGAGAGAGCTACATAGCTGCACCTGTAACATAGATTGATCCACTTTACCGGGGTACCGATAGGAGAAAAGAAGTACTTATTTTTATACTTGGATAGTAGACGTTTCCTGCGCTAAAGGTTGTAGGTTCGATCGATCCCCTCTTCTAGAAAAAAACTGTTTGTAATTACCATCACAGTATTTATTTACAAAAGAAAATTATGTTTTAAATATGTTAATCAATTAATTAGTATCCATAGTAAAAGCTTAGCTTAGTTTGGCACTAGATAATATTGTGTAAAAATATATCCTGAAATAAACTAAAGGTAGAAAAACTAACTTTTAAACTAACTTTTAAGAAAAATTAACTGATTACACAAATTTCAAAGTATAAATAATATTTCTACTTTGAAATCTCACGGATTCAGGATTGATATGGGCTGTTGTTTAAATTCAATAAATGTGTTCTACATGGCTTTGGGTGTTATTTGTGTTTTACTATATTATAACAAAACTGAATGTTTACGCTCTTGGTGAGAGACACTAGACTATTAAAGAATGAAACATTTGGGTTTCTTTTAATAAGCCCGATATATGCCTCTTAATTTATTCAACTCAATAATTTCCAGACGACAGCTGTCCAAACAGCCGAGGAAATAAACACTGGATAGAGACAAGTCATGAATGTGTTTTAGTCGGCAATTAATATTTGTTTTAGTTCGTGTCGAGGCCGAGACAGTAACCGCTAATTTAGTGCCAACGATCGAGATTGTCGATAAAATCTGTATATAGCCGGATAAATAACATTGATAATAGGATTTACGACTCACAATTATTTTATTCATTTACTATTCTTGATTTATTATTTTATTTATTTACAATGTATTTTAATTGTTATAAAAATATTATAGGGCTTTGTGACTTTTTTGTCTCTATTTAATTTCATTTGTCGATTTTGTATTGCTGACACTAATTTGTGACGCGTAAATAATATCGATATCTTTTATATACAATGAGTGATGTTCATCAATATAATATGTTCATAAAATTTTTTCCATCCATGTTATTTCTGTTGAGCTTATCACTATATTTAGAATTTTGTCCTTTATATTTCGTCGCTTTTGGCCAATATATTTGATAAAAAGTGTATATTAGTTTATTTCCATTACTAACATTCGTTTTTAATCAATGTATGCATTTATAAAAAGTACGTCTCATTCGAGCGATATAAAGAAGTGTGAATTAAGCACATTCTTGTGCAAACTTTAACTCCCTTTCTCGGAATAAGTTGGTACAGTCATAATATACTGTAATCGGAGTCCAGCCCTACCTGCTCGCAGCGTGATACTTGACTGGAGCAGGAAACAACATACAGATACATTTATTTATTCCATCAAACGAGCTGAACAAGTTCTGGTTCATATATATACGAGATGTCTCTACGCAACGAGGTAGACAGCAGTCCTAATAAAACGCAAAACGCCTTTCTATTGTCCTTTAAAACGGTGATTTGTTGCCAGTAATGATTAAACACATTAAATAATGAGCTTAGAATGAGCTGCCTGTTATTTTTGCAATGATATTATTATCGGTAATTTTTCTTTGAACTAAAACCTTGAGTTGTAACGGTCGCCTCGTTTTAAAGGTTTTTCAATTGTATGTAACGATCGATATTGCGACTATAAACATGTAAATATATATAAATAGATACCTACTATTCCCGCTTTCTTAACTGCGTGGTTAGTTTAGAAAACGTCTAAATTATATCAGATGTATTATTCTTTAATGGAAAAACTTCGAAGGCCTCCGTCTCGAATTGTTCTCAAATTCTAGCGTAATGGAGAGAAAGTGTATCGTACGGTACCCGAGATGAGGCTAGTCGTAAATCATTTGATCTTTAGCTCTATGGACGCTATGTGTTTGTGTGCGTTGCTATAGATAGCTACAATAAATATTGAATTTGTAATATACGGCAAAACAATAATTTAATAACTTTCTGTTATTAGCAGGATGGATTTAATTTTAGGAAGACGTTTGTTTATAAGCATAAGATAGGAGCGCGGTGATATCAGAAGGCATATTTATTACATGATTTCAACAAATTCTGCAGTAGTGGTAATAAGAAAATGTCTAGTTTCCTTTTAAGCTGTTACATTACTTCGTATTGCTCAAAATTTTATGTATTCTCAAATGCTTATTTTTAAATATCAAACGAAAAATGAATAACATTTTGAGAAGACAACGCGCAAAACCATTTTGTACAAGATATCATAGATAAAAAACGTTTATGTAACTTTGCATGGAACTCAATCGCCAATTGTCACTCTGTGTCACGGTGCATGAACTTTTGACAGTGCTGTACTAAACTAATCCATCCGTCTTGGGATTCTCTCACAGATTGTTCACCTCGTCTATTTTAGACTAGCGTAGGTGACGGGGTGCGACGCCCTCTAGGGGACGACCGACCTCTGACGCCATACGGTCAAGGACATCTGCGCATCATATTCCGTTACGGCGAACTAAGTCTATTTGCGCGCAATACACTTTGGAGCTCTGAAGGCAGTAACGTATACCGTTAGAAATGTTTGTGTGACATGATGTTCGTGTAGGTACTCTGTGCAGGAGTATAGATAGTTCTGTCATATTTTAAACTTATTCTTCTTATGATTGCCGACAAACATTGCGTTCGGTGATGTTGGTTCGATCGCCGCGCGAAACAAAAATGTTTGTGTTCCGTAAATATTTGTTCCAGGTCTGTAATTCGCGTCAGTGGCAGTCATATTTGGAAAATCACAAAATATGCGAACTCATCTGGGTATACCCGCAAAACCGCTCTCCAAACATATAATTCTATAGTTCTGAGACACGGAAAGGTCGTGGCAAATTATGTAAAATATCGGTCTCATGGTTTTCTATGAACATTACCATCAAGCTTAAAAATATCGTTCACCTTCGTTCTCTACAGGAAAGTCGAATCTGAGAGAAATAAGGCAAATCTTTCGGACTAATTTTTATCGTGTCATGTTAGCTCAGCGGACGCTTCTGAATATATCAAAATATACTTGTTAACGGACTTAATACCGGGAGTCCGTAAGCGGATGACGCGTCGGGCGTGAAGAAATTGTAATTTTCCGTTTGCGTTCGAAAAGAAAGCCCCGTGCCGCCGCAGGAATGCACCTGTCTACAGCGGAGCGATTATCAGAACATGGCACGATGTTTACGTCACTCCGATAGTGCTACGACCTCAAGATAATTATCGGTTGACGACTCGTCTCGGTCCTATCGGCTTGCAACCGCGCAAGGACATCAACAGCCGAGCCCAGCAATGCCCAGCCCGGAATGCGCAATGCCATTCGCCATTCACAATTCTTAATGCATCAATAAATTTAGCTATCATGATAAATTTTTGGAGTATACCCTTAATTAAGTTAATGTTGAACGTTCACGAGAGAATGTACGCATATTTTTGGTATTAGGATTCTTTTAAATAACATCGATATATGGACAATTCTATTCTTTAAAATAAAAAGGTGTTCGCTTGCCTTACGTAACAAATGTAAAAGCGTTTTAATAATGATTGACTGCAATAAATATCTTGTCAGCAAAAGGTATTTTAGATGTTTTCTGTTGATAAACATAATCACATGAAAATTTTCCATTTTATAATCCACGGAGCACGTTTTAGACAAAGGCAGTCTGACTCTGACGTATCGTATAAATGACCGCTCGGCCTTGTCTAGGCCACGATGACGCCATCTTGCGTGCGGACGTACTCATTTTATTGGGACGCCGAATTTCGTAGGCATCCCGTTCTTGCATATCGATAACGCTATTGTTGGAAAGAGATAAAACAATTTCGACGGTGATGATCGCTTTGATCGATTCATACAAGAGTCGTTTATCCAAAAACCATTTTCGTGATAGCGTTTATTTGTTATATTAAGAACATTGCTGACAGGAACTGATGGCGTATTTATTATGAAGTCTGTACAGAGTGTAGTCTGCAGTACGTACACGAAGGTTTCTCGTTTATTAAATTAAACAATACAGTGCATGCCGTTTCTTATGATTGTGCAATTGATACAAAACGTAATACGAGTGGTTCGTTGCGTAATTTGCAATTAATGGCGTTGCTAACGCAGGCTCCATATTCCGCCGGTATCCGAGTAGGCGCGCTACGTCTGGGGATCAAGGGACTATTGAACGGCATAATTGGTTTGCCAGACGCTCGCCTCTTGACGTCTATTTCCCCTTTTATCCATTCAACGTTTGCATCGAGCACTGACCACTCCGTACTAGCTGACTGACGTCCAGTGCGTGTTTTCTTTGAGCAGTCGGTTGGTATTTGTCCGGTAATTTACGGAATAACAATGATGTAGAGCTGTCAAGAGATTTGATTCGTATTTCGCGCGGATGCTTAATCGGTGTTGCCGCTAACTGCGACTCGGTGTCGCTGGGTCGTATTGGGAGCGGCGGACTAAACCGGCGCGCGAAAGGCGAAATGCCCGCGACCGGGGCCGGTCGCAGTAACCGGCTCCGCGAAGGCCGCACAACGCCCTCCCACCGTTCCGTAACCACTAGTGATTCGCCCGTTATCGATAATTAATTGTATCGTTAACGTTTCATTACTCGTGCCCGTGCGTGTATTGATCGGGTAATGAGAGGTCGGCCACCTCTTGAACGACCATAGTACTCGCCAGCGCTTTCAAGAAAAAGTAGGAGGATGCAATTAAAAACTTTATAGATAAATATTCATACAGATCTCTCGTGCACGTCTACTTTGTATCGTATTTATTTAAAATTTAATGACAAAAGTGAAAAATAAAGTAATTGCTACCCGTCGGGGTATTGTTTGAATTAAATGCCGTCTCATTCAGTCGTCCGTTTCGACGCTGAATACGTTATCGCACCCGCTCGGCGCGCTATAAACAAAGTGCCAATGACACGAAGGTCGGACGGCCGTATCGATAGCGCGGCGCCGCTATCGCCCAACACTGGGCGGGTCGGCAAGGCCGCGGCGCGACGGTACGTGTGTCGTCGCGCGTACGTGTACACAAACACCGTCTCGAAATGACGACTATATTCCAAATATGAATCGCGCGTGAGCCTGCCTGTACGTTGTCTCTTTTTTTTTAATAATATGATTATTTTTTTAATGCGTTCCGAATTTCAATCAGGCGCGACGTTCTTATTTCACAATTCTCCTTGTTCACAGATTAACAAGATGCTGGATTCATCCGTCGATCGCTCACAACTGTGTTCAACTTTAAAAAAGTGGGAAACCCGCGACGACACCTCGGAAAAAGCAGAGGAAACATGTAAATGCAGCATTGGCTTCCAACCACGGGATATCGCAAGACTGAATCCCACAGATGCCTTAAAAATTATCAGTGACGCAAGATGATTGGGGACGATAGGGATATTTTTCTACGAGTACATTACCTTAGAACGAAATAGTTTTTGAAGAATTTTAACAGTATTTTTGATATTTTTCTAAGACACATTTGTGTATGGTGCTTTATAGTATAGGGAGGTGAAACGCTTTCAGCAAACTGTCGATAAGAGTGGTAACTTTAGTGTTGTGAATTAGCAAGGGAGGAATACCACGATGTCGGCCGAGGGTGACGCTGTTAAAGTGGAGGGGGGTCATGTATCAGTCACTACCATCAGCATGTCTGGAGCAGAGACCAGCAATGGTAAGTTATTTTTTAATTTATTACGTTACTGTGGTTTTATGTTTACTCACCCATTTTACTTAATTCAATGTGTGTAAATGTAAATGATAATGTACTTTTTTTAATTACTAGACATGTGCTTATTCAAAAAAAAAAAAATAATTTGTGAAAGAGACTGACGCCAGCATGGACCTTGGATAAGATATTAAAAAATGACATTTGAGAAAGTTTTTAATGAAACCATTGAAATGAAACCATTGAAATGAAACCATTTTTACGGATTTCTTTACGTTCATTTTTAATTTCATCTCCTAACCTCAAATGCTTTGCAGCATACATGCGATAATAAAAAATGGTTCATGTACTGCGTTAATATGTATATTGTATACATTGTATTTCATAATTGCTAGACTTTGATCCCGTTGTTCCCATATCTAAAACGAAATACATAAGATTTGTTTACTAAGGATATTTTTTTACCTTTAAGAAAGGTTTAAAAGTTATTTGTGTGCGAGTAAATAAAATAAATACTGCCTTTATCCAAGTAAATATATATTGCTCTGAAATTGATAAGTTACAAATAATATAAAAAGATGTTTTAAACGCAATGCAAAAGATAAATTATAATTAGGAGTGCTGTTCCCCGTTTGGCCTTTAATTGGCGCTTTAGCAGCATGTGCCCGCACTTTGTCTAGAAAGTTGAAATCCATAAATTAAAGTTCAGGGCGTACAGTGAACTGGCCGATCAGATTTCTATATTCCGATAGTTAGACTTGAGCTTTATTTGCCGCATTAAGTTTTAAACTAAGTTTACCGCTGTTGCTAAAATTGTAAAAGAACTGAAATTTTGATCTATAAAAGATATATTTAATGTATATAGTAATAATAGAAATATTAAATCATTTCTTGTTTGCGTTTTCTTTACTCCATTAAATTGTTGAGCGTAAAAAAGTATAATAGTCTGTTAAGTGAACATTAAAATATTTAAATATGATGGTTGATAGATTTGATTCACTTGCATCGGAATACAAATTATTTGAGACAGTATAAAAATATTTTTGTTTCTTTATTCCGAAAACCTACCAATGAGTCTTGATAATGGACGTGTTCTTAGTAATGCATCCTCAAAAATATTTTTATGAAATATAAAGTGTTTTTTTTATATATAAGCAACGTAAACACAAATCTCGTTTTTACTGTAGTAGTAATGATTTCAAAATTCTATGAAAATTTCAGTGAATTTCAATGTCGCCAATAAATCATCGCCAAATAAGGAAGACAGGAAAATATTTTCTTAGCTGCACTGGGCAATTTTGTTATTGCAGTGCAAAGTTGAACTTAAAGTAAACAAGGTCAAAGTTCGGAATTCTTTAAACAAGAATATATTTATCGAAACGTCTCTCTTTTAATGAAAGTTACCGATAAGTATTATTTGTGTTAATTGAACGATAAATAAGTTTACATGGGTACGTTGAATTCGCATCATAGTATATTTCTACTGCAGAGGTCTCTCAAAAGGGAACAGTGCATTTTTTATGAAATAAACTCACTCTAGTCCTAGACAATTACACTCTTGTGATTATATACAAAATCATAAAACTGAAATTATGAACTTCACGCAATACTAATTACTTAGAGAATTATTTTTCTACACGTCTTTTTCCCCCAAGTGGAACAGGGTTCGAACGGTGTTCATTATTGAAGTAAAATGAAGTCAAATTAGAAAGTACTGTCTAGGTTAATTCTGCTTTACAGTAATCATCATCATAAATGAAACTAATTTTTACGGATTTATCGCGTTTATTTTTAATTTTTATTCCCGACGTTTCGAACACTTTACAGCGTTCATGGTCACGGGTCTGTCCCGTTTAAAATTAAAATTAAAAATAAACGCGATAAATCCGTAAAAATTAGTTTCATTTATAATGTGTAATCGCGTAAATACAAGAAATTATTAAGCATCATCATTTCAGCCTGTTTTAATCTACTGCTGAACATAGGCCTACCCCACAGACTGCCATGAAATACGATCCTGAACTACCTGCATCATTCCCATTCTTCCCGTACATTTGCATAGGTCGTCACTCCATCTAGTGGGGGGTCGTCACAAAGATAATAATTTACATTAATTACTAAAGTAATACACGTATGTAATTATTTTCTGTGTCGAATTATTACTAAAGAAAACTAAACGTGGACTTCATTTTATCTCATTTATTGATCAGTATTCATCTTGATGGTACGGGAAGATATAATCGTAGATGGTACACGCGCTACCTTATATTATTTAAAATTATTCGTTTTACTATTGTCATTGAAGGATTCATATCGCGTTTAAATATGAAGGAGGAGATTTAATACAGCATAACAGAGACGGAACAAAACAATAACATTTTAGTAACATTTACCAAGGAGGTGAAAAATCACACAACTACATAAGCAATGCTCTATCCCTCTTTCAGGCCAGTTCTCGTACAGTTCGAGTGGGGTACGCATCAGCGTGTCCTCGGATCCTCATGACGAGGACTCCACTGACGCAGAAATCTCCAAGATCGACTTCACGCAACACCAATACGAGGTATGCTTATTTAAATGTATGCTAATTTATACCTAGCTCGGTTGCTTTTGCCGAATCATATTTTACATGTGTTATCATATGTACCCAAAATTACTCTATGCGAGATCCTTTAAGATGTGCTTTTCATATATCCGTGCTTATTATGTTTCGATGAACGAAAACTCAACATGTATTATCGTTCTCTTCACCGGCAAAACAACTAAGTGTACGGCTTTATCACCTCTGGTGAAAGTGGCTTTGTGAGTTGTCGCGAATCCCGACCTAATAGGGCTGCCTGCTCTAATGACTGAGCGGTTATTGGATTAAACATCAAATTTCAGTCGTAAATATTTGATTTTGAAAGTACAAAGTTTTGAGGATAAATAAGGGTTCCTTTGTTATATTAACAGGGCTGCTAGTGTCTACCTTTGCAAACGTGTAATGCTTATTTATTTAAAACTTTTTCCACAATAGTGTACAATGGCGGACTTAAAACCATTATGTTTTCTCTACCAGACAACCGACGAATAAATAGAGATCTTATTGCGTGCGGGGAGTACGAACAATGGTAGACATATCATTAAGATTTTTTCCTTTAAATTGTTTTGTTCAATTTGTGTCTTTGGCAAGATACTTTTAAAAGCACTACCATGACCGACCCTTAACCGGTCGGATCCAGATTACGATCATTTGCCAAAACGCGGTAAGGTTTTGGCAAATGATCGTAATCTAGATCCGACTAAACGGCGAGGCTGCCGCGGACCACGCGGCAGCCTCGCCGTTGCACGAATGGGCAGGCTCGCCCACGTAAGTGACACGGCAGTACAGAGGATCATCTGGTGAGTTAGGTGACGGTAGCCCACTTTTTGAATATTGGCATTGAACTCGATAGGTGTTGTCTACCTCCTCGTTTCAGCCATACTTTACGGCAACTTTTGACATAGGAATAAATATCACAGTAAAAATATGCACAGGTCAACATGCGAAACAAGAAGAAGCGGTCGGGCGGCGTCCAGGCCGAAAACCAGGTCATGGACCGCGAGCGCCCCATGTCATGGGAGGGCGAGCTGTCAGATTCCGAGATGGTCATAGACACCAGCGTCAACAACGGTAAAGACACCTATGTATCAATTCCTACCAAGCTATAAGCTTACGCTGGCTGAAAGACAGCACTGCCTGGGTGAGGACTGTCGCGTTGATGTAAGACCATCGCTTACTTCCTATGTCAATTCGTTTGCAAATTATTCGGCAAACAATTTGCAAATTAATAATTAATAGCTTTACAATGGTGGCCAATTCGTTTATTTGTACGGTGGAGTCTTGCTCTGGTGATGCAAGTCCAAGATCCCGATTTCCTTTAAAATACTAAACTTGCAGCTGATTGAAATAAATTTTGTGCCTAAAAGGCATGATAGAATGTAAGTTAATTGCTAACTGAAGTATCTGAGTGGTCGTAAGAAAATTCTCTCCCTTTTCCTTAAAGGATTAAGCGAAGAACGGCTTACGAACGCTTAATAATTATGTTCTAGACTGTTTTCTAGATTGTTTTCTACTTATGAACTATTCTATACATTATCACTTCTAATATCATAGAACTAAGTCACCAATGTCTTCCCTTCTCTTAATATAAGCGTTAAGACAGCCGTTGTCTCTCTTGTCAACTCCTGGGTTGATCTGTCGCAGACGAGAACAGCAGCTCGATAGACATGCAGTCGTCCCGGGACTCCGTCGACACCCTCCGCAACGTCACCATAAAAACGGAACCGCTTAAGGGGGACGCCTTCCAGAGCCTCGACGATCAGACGGTCCTGGACCTGAAGTACTCGGCGCCCCTGCAGCCGCACCAGCGTAGTCTCAGCATGAACAGGGTGAGTGGGAAACTTCAGAAGGAGAGTCAGCGGCTGAGACTTTTTGTGTGAACGCGCCGATCTGATTGGAGAGGTATTACAATCCAACCGAAGAGCAGTGAAAAGTAGAAGTTTACTATTGCTTAGTTGGAGACAACGTAACGTTTTGTATGATTGAGTTGATCTGATTGGAGAGGTATTACAATATAACTGAAAAGCAGCGTCAAGTAGGAGTTTACTATTGCTTAGTTGGATGTCTATGATAAGCAGATTCACTTACTGACTGAGCCTTTATCTGACTAAATAACTTAAGCCAGATGTATTAATGTTCGTACATGAAAATTAAGGCAGTAGAAATAAGTACAGTCCTTAATATTGTCTTAGACAGCTAATTAGGGGGGAAAGCTTTCCTTGAAAATTCGACGGGTCCGCCTGCAGAAGCTTTTGAGTTAGTCTGGGCTCACATTTTTTTAAATAACTGGCAATCTGCAAACCAAGAGGTTTAGGAGATGTGCATGGAGGTCAGTAATCAATTAACATCAGGAGAACTGCCTGCTCGTTTGCCAACGTTTAAATAAAAAAAAAAAAAAGTCAAATAATAAATGAATGTATTGCATTTAAAATATAATCTGTCTCTCTCACTCAGATATCTGTCCTCACCGACAACACCTCCCTGTCGCTCTCTCGACGACCCTCGTCGCCAACGAACAGCGCCAAGTCCCTGGCCCTCAGCGACCAGGGCACGATGCCGATGATGACGCACGTGGCCGGAGAGGCGCAGAACTTGACAATAAAGAAGGAGACGCAATTATCAGGTACTTATTTAAACGCCCTAGTGTTTAATCCGGCGAGAATGTTAAGTACCTAATTTTCGATGTCGTCAGAGCTTGGATTAACAAATGCATCGAATCAAAGACTAAAAATAATAAGAGGTTATATAGAACTTTCCAAGATAAAATGAAGAGTAAGAGAGTATAAATTTCAATTACCTCATTGAAGGAAGTAAAACACTCAGACAGTATAACCGTATCCTAATTACTAGGTCCCTTTGCCCCAATTTGTCATTGTCTGTTATACAAAATGTGTCTTTATTACATATTAAACTTTTAATCCCCGATTCCAGAGCTAAAATGCGAAGCGGGCTCGGGAATGGAAAAGCTTCTGGCTCTGCACGGGTCGCCGCTGCTAGGCCGGCTGCCTCGAGTCCAGTCCAGCGCCAGCACGGACTCCGCTGTCCACTCCATGTACACGCACAGGTAAAGGAACGCCCACGGACAGTAGATAGAGAGAAAGAGAGAGAGAAGAACAGATAGAGGAGTAGACAGAGACAGAAATAGAGAATGAGAGATGACAGTGACATTAATCAGGTTTGTGTGCAAAATCTGGCTTATCGGCGACCCCTTGATGTAGACATCGATGTCGCTACGAATTTCACTTACTACCTTCAAGTATATATCGTAATATGACCTAAAGCGGTAAGCCGGTGGCGTCACAAAGGAAACTCAATTGGCCCAATTTCTTAGGATTAGGGCGTAGTGTCGCTCGTTGTATGTGCGATTCCCGCATGAGGCGATTTAGTGTCGCCTTCAGATCACTGACCAGGATCTGGGCGTTCTTATAGCCGTTATCGATATCGATGCCGCTAATCGATGTTACAAAGTGATCCGTATCGATATCGATGAATGTATAATATGTAATATCCAACAGCGTGTACAGCAGCCCGTCGGCGAGCCCGCGCCCGGCGCGTCACTACACGCCGTCCCTCTCGCGGAACAACAGCGACGCCTCCCACTCCTCCTGCTACTCCTACAGCTCAGAATTCTCGCCGACGCACTCGCCCGTGCAGGTATGTCTGCTCCGTACGCTCATACCTTCAGCGCTACGCACTTCACGACTGTGGAGAATCGAACTTCCCACAGGGAGAACTAAAGAGTTATCCATAGGATTATACATATATTTATTTATAACTTTACAAATTCTAGAACACAAAAGGCTGACTCAAGCCTTCAGGCAGTCTCTACCAGTCAACATAGTTGTGTCGTCCTGCATTAGCTCACTTACTTATTCTTCTGTTCGTTCTTACTGACGTCAGATGTATCACAAATGCGTCCTAAAAATGACGCAGGACATTATAACGTCTTCTAAAAGAGAACACGTATTAAAGAATTTTCCTATAACGCGATCCATAAAGTCGGTAGCATTTTTTCCCTCTTACCGAAACACGTGACTGTGCTATCCCTCCCCCTCCCCCTCCCCCCCTTTCATTTGTCAGCGCGTGAACGTAGCGTATACATTCAGCAGAGCCGCCAGCCCCACGTGGTGTACCGCGAGGCGTCTGCCGTTTACCCCGCCTCTCCGGCCCACGACGAGGACACTGATGCGGCGGAAGAGCGGCTCCACCACCACCAGGGCATCAGCCGGCAGCAGCTTATCAACAGGTCGGTAATAAACCAGCTAAATGGTTAGCTGTGAAAACTGCTTAGGGGTGCAACTTCTCTATTCTGCCCTAACATAGATATTTTGTTTCATTATCGTAGATATTTCTTCTGTTATTTACAACGTGTCGAGTTTTTTGTATTAGTTATGCTACACACAGTAGTGCCAGTAGGATATAAATTTATGACATACTAGATTGCTACGAAGGAAGATGTGTTTTTAGACGTAAAATCTTCATCTGACAGAGGGCTCGGGGATAGCTAAGTTTCTACGAGCTTGATAAATTCATTCGAGCCTTTCTTTTTTCATTTCGCGCATGTGCACAAGCGTGTTTAACCTGTAGATGTCTGTGCCGTTAGTGCTGGCAGCCGAATATCCTGCCGTAACATGGAGAGCGGTCTTCTACAGAAGAAATACTAAAATCTTTGAAAGAATCGGTGACGAGCTGCTTCCACACCACTCTCTGTTCAGCTTGCAGAACTTGCAGCAGGGCAATGGAAACAGATTGCCCTGTTATTTAGTAGTAATAGTTTTATTTGATCAGGCAAACGTGTGGGTGACCCAAGTGATCTTTTGCCATCCACTTTCCCAACTACAGCCAGTTCTTTCTAAATTATCTGGCCGCCTGCGGGCGGTGGTGGCTCAAAGCTCACGGAACCCTCCGCAGCCCGTGCCCCATCTGCGGCGACAAGATCAGCGGCTTCCACTACGGGATATTCTCGTGCGAGTCGTGCAAGGGCTTCTTCAAGCGGACCGTCCAGAACAGGAAGAACTACATGTGCCTGCGCGGCGGCAACTGCCCGGTGACGGTGGCCACGCGCAAGAAGTGCCCCGCCTGCCGGTTCGACAAATGCCTAGGGTGCGGCATGAAGCTCGAAGGTATGATTATGGATAATTATGGACACCCATACCCATACCCATTCTGGTATTCAGGGATTCCGCAAGACAGAGTTGTTTAGGTAACATCAATGAATTTATCCTTCTGCCGCAAGCGTTGTAGTGAGCGTTGGTAGAATAACAGATCTAGAGTCATATCAGACTTATCGCATCTAGTGCGGTCTTGCATAGACTATCCTGGTAGGTCATTCCATCGCAGTTTCTGTATTATTTACTAAAGAAAATCCATTGCAAGCTTAGCTTAGTTTGGTATTCGATCATCATCACTCCATCTAGTGGGGGGTCGCCCTAAACTGCGATGGCCAGAATGAGGCTGCCACTCGAGAACCTTTCTTCCCCAACGGTTATCGGTTCTACGAGCTGTATGGCCGGCCTATCGCGACTTCAGCTTGCTAATCCTCTGAGTAATGTCGTTTACCTTGGTTCTACTGCGGATGTCTTCGTTACGAACCCTATCACGCAGAGAAATACCAAGCATAGCTCGCTCCATACAGTGGCGGATTTGCAGTCTTAGCCGCCCTAGGCCCCAGTTCATGATTTAGGAAGGTTATCGTTAAACGATGCGATGAAGTGTGGCCCGCCGTAATTTGCGCGAGCCTTTAGAATATTAAAGTACTTTGAGTTGTTTCTTATGATCATCATTGAGTTTTTTGTCACGATTAGCCGCCCTAGGCCCGGGTCTACTGGGCCTTAGAGCAGATCCGCCACTGGCTCCATAGCTATGGTACTAGATAACATTATAAAAATATTTCTTGAAAAATTTTGCCTATTTATCGAACAGCCATACGTGAGGACCGCACCAGAGGCGGCCGCTCGACGTACCAGTGCTCGTACTCGCTGTCCGGCGCCGCTTCCACCGGCTCGCTGCTCTCCGCGCACGTGCCGCCAACGCTGCGCCACGCCTCCAGCCTCACCTGCGTGAGTACCGGCAAATATACCACCTCCCCTAACCTCCCACACACCCCTCCCCTCCCCTCCCCCATCCTCCACCCTCCTCTCCCCTCGCCAACCCCTCCACATCCCTGCCCATCCCTCCCCACGTCTTCCATTCACCTAAATCCTTCTCTAGCGACCTTCAACAACATCGTTGCCATGGTAACGGTAAACGAAAGCGCCGCGATGCAATAACCCAGTGCTAGTACTCATTTCTGTTGATGTGAAGAAGAAGAATAACCTTTAAGAAAGTATGCAGTTGCCATGGTAACGCTTCCAAACGAAAGCTCGTTGTATCCAGTGCTAGTAATGTCTGTGTAAGCAAATAATTTGATACAGTTTGTCCATCGACAAGAGATCGCACTCTTCTTAGAGCTTCTTGGAATCAAATCGCGCGACGTATATATAAGTTATTGCTGATAATAATTAGGGTATTTGTGAAGTGTGTAGCAGGTGAAGTCTGCCTATCCGCTGTGGGATCGCGTGGTAGACTAAGCTCTGTATAGAGAAGGCCTTTGCCCAGGATTGGGAATATATAGGCTATTACTTAGTAAGTAGAGCAGTTTTAGTTGAAGCTTTCGAATTGATTCAAGGGTTGAACTAAACTGAACCTACTAGGTAGAGCGTTACATAATATACGATCAGGTGGGCAAATGTAACACAATTCTCTATAGAAAATTCTCTCTGGTTTTAGGTGAACGGTCCAGGGTCATACAGCAGTCGAGGGGAGTCGAGCAACAGTCGGTTGACGCCAGACATTCCGCCATTATTGCAGGTAATTGTTTTAAATGGTACTAGCGGCCCAACCGTCTTTGTCCGGTTGAAATTAACTTTTCACAACTAACCTTTATCATGAACAAAATTAAATATCATAACAACAACAAAAAATGCTGTCCACTGTATATTAAACTAGCTTACTTTCTATTATACATATAAACCTTCCCCTAATCACTCTATCTACCAAAAAGAACCGCATCAAGATCCGTTGCGTAGTTTTAAAGATCTAAGCATACATAAGGACATACAGACAGCGGGACGACTTTGTTTTATACTATGTAGTTAAAGTTATTCTTCGTATAAATGTATGAAAACTGTTGTTCACAACTGTACACCATGTTGTCATGCACCTTGCTGCGCAGTAAGTGATTAGCTGGCGCGAGCGAGAGAGCAATACCCTCCCCGCACTTCTCACTCATTCCCTCCTACACATAAAAACCGTGTGTTCGTGAGAGCGAGCACCGCGAAGACTAACAGCGAATAATTCGGGGGCTCAGGAGATAATGGACGTGGAGCACCTGTGGCAGTACAACGAGTCCGAGCTGAGCCGCCTGGGCAAGTCCACGGGAGCCAACCCGCTGCTGGCGGCGAGCGGCATCACGCCGCACACCTCCAGCGCCGACCTGCTGGCGGACCTCTGCCACATCGCGGACCACCGCCTCTACAAGATCGTGAAGTGGTGCAAGAGCCTGCCGCTCTTCAAGAACATATCGGTCAGTTTTTTTCATGTGAAAATTTGGCCAAACGAGCCGACCTGCTGTTAAGTGAATTGCCATGGACATATGCCTCACGCGAGGGTTTGCAGATGCATTAACAACCTTTTTGGAAATCGGGTTCCGGCTACGACGACTCGAGAACCTTTGTTCCCTAATCGTTATATATTAATACTTTATCCGTGTCCCCTTCTGTAGACTGGTTTATTAATTTGAGCCCCTTTCTTGGGAATCTTTACATTCATACCTAACCCATGCCCCCTCCTGTAGAATCGTTATAACAATACCTAATCCATGCCCCATCACTGCTAGTGAATCCCCAGATAGTTTTGTGCTGATGATTGACCTTGCGCAGATCGACGACCAGATCTGCCTGCTCATCAACAGCTGGTGCGAGCTGCTGGTCCTGTCGTGCTGCTACCGCGGCGTCAGCACGCCGGGGGAAGTGCGCGTGGGAGGAGGGAGGGGTATCACGCTGCACCAGAGCGCCAAGTGAGTACCACCAGGTCATTGACCTTCGGACGCCACGGATTAGCGTTAATAAGCTTCTACTAAAAAAACCGCATAGCTGTTTCCTCTGCATCTCTTAACGACATGTTTGTATTAAGTATAACGCTTCCACTTCCCTGAGAACAGCAGACCACTGATTGACGCCACCATAGTTAAAAAAATCACACAAATTCTGTTAATTCCAAAGATTGCGTATTAGTGTGTTTGTTTGTTTTTCACGCTGCAACAGTTAGTGAGATGTTTCGAACCGGTAATGCAACACATTACAGATTCGAAAATTTTAAATATATTCTTTATTTGTAAATTAATTCTAATAAGTAATATTACACAGTTTATCCCATAAATTCACTGTTTACTTCGAACAAATGTAAGCACCTAAAAAAGGTACCAGTCATCCCGCAGCGTAAAGAAGAGGGATCTCTATCAAATAAATGCTATGCCGACAGGTTTGGATTGACGCCGTGTATAGAGCGCATGCTGAGCTTCACTGACCACCTTCGGAGGCTACGGGTGGACCGATATGAATACGTCGCCCTAAAAGTCATCGTACTACTCACTTCGGGTAAGCTTTCTAAATCAGAAGATTGTGTATCCGGCTCTAAGGACCAACAAAATTATAACAAAAAATTTAGGGCGAAGCTAAAAAAATTTCAATGTCGTTTTACTTGAAATGTAAGGTTTACTTGGAAGATTAATACCGAAACAATTTCTTTATTTAAGTGGGGCTCCCATACAAGAGACATGATTACTCAACTGTTCCAGACCGAACAGACAGCTGCGTGGAGCCGAGAAGCCTCTAAGGAGATGGGAGTTTTAGTACTATTAATCTTTAATTCCTCCAGACGCACCAGAATTGCGCGAAGCTGAGAAGGTGCGAGCCTCCCAGGAGAAGGCGTTGGCGGCGCTGCAAGCGTACACGGCCGCGCACTCGCCCGACACGCCCGCCAAGTTCGGCGAGCTGCTGCTGCGCATACCGGAGCTGCAGCGCACCTGCCAGGTGAGAATCGACCTTATTCCGTTTGCAGCACGGCCGGCTTTCCCGTGCTAGTATACAATTATGAGTCAGTCGAAAATCGACCCTATTGTGTTAGTTGCGCGGTCGGCTTTCCCGAGCTAGTAACTAATTCGTGAGCCAGGTGAAAATCGACCTTATTATCTTTGCAGCGCCGTCGGCTTTCCCGTGCTAATATATAATTCATCAGTTAGTTGAAAATCGACCCTATTATGTAAGCAGCGCGGTTGGCTTCCTGCGCTATTAATTAATCCATCAGTCAGTTGAATATTGACCTTATTATGTTGGTAGCGCCGTCGGTTTGCCATGCTAGTTTTTTCATCAGCTCGGCAAAATTGATTTTATATGTTACTAGTAAGGTCGGATTTTTCGTGTTGTTAAAAGCCCATCTGCTGAGTGAAAATCGACCTTACTTTGTAATAAGTACAACTTCTTTTGCCGTGCTGATTTATAAAGTTCATCTATCAGATGCCTTAGAAACAATGTTCCGAGCTCTATGTCAGATATGGCGGGCAATAATTGTCTCTAGGTATAATGAACGGGTTGACGAAATCCCTTACAACGCAATATCCATTATTTTTAATTGAGATGAAACGAAGAGCTCAGAAATTTAAGTACGCTTACGACGATTTTTTCCACCGCTCAAACGAGTAGCGTTATTTTTTAAATATTATTTACAACTAGCTGCTGCCCGCGACTACATCTGCGTAGAATACGCTGAAGGCGTAACATTTAGACAGAAAAACAGATATATATAAAAATAAGTATGTTAATTATAGCCTATTTGTTATTCGGACGTATAATCTATATTATTTTAAAGTTTTATTAAAATCCATTCAGTATTATTTGCGTTAAAGAGAAACAAACATCCATCCATACATATAAACTTTCGCCTTTATAATATTAGTAAGGATGAAACATGTGATTAAGTTATGAGTTCCACTATAGCATCTGTATCATACACTTATAATATAACATTTGTTTACTCTTCAGTTCTTCATGCAAGTTGGCAAAGAAATGCTCAATCCTGCCAACAAGAGCAAAGATGGCGACGGGCCGAGCTTCAACCTTCTCATGGAATTACTGAGGGGTGACCATTGATCTCGCTGCCGAGCCAGAAACTACAGTGAAAAACATTGCTCAAGTATAATGATTGAACTGTTAAAGGATTTTAGCTTTTATTACTACAGACTTAAAGTTGCAAATTAAATAACCTGCGTTAAAACTGGAACGCGCGGTCATGATGAGGAAATAATAATGTTGTCAGTTTCAAGCCTCTACAGCCAGTGTGAAATATTTTTTCTGGGATTTTTCAAAAGATGAAACACAACTGGCATGTAATATTGATCTTATCCTTGATTATCATGACAGTACTATTTGTAATAAAACTAATATTAAATTAGAACTAAGCCTGAATTGCCTTAAAAAGTGTAAAGCCACAATTGTATTGGCCTTAAATGTGAAGACTGCTCCATACATATTCATAGTTTTTTAACCTGCTTCATACATGCGCTCATACATAATAATAATATTTTTAAATGGTGCCAAGCGACGACACTGCCTTATTGCATTTATATTGTTCTGTATCGATATCTCTTCTGATAAGTCATTTTGACATTCATACTTTTGACAGTTTATATCAAGTCACTTCCATACACTTCAAGTATTAAGCTCCTATAACGAGAAGCTAAGGGATCAATTATTAATAATAGTTTTTCAATACAATGCTACTACCCATTCTAAACTATATTTTTACACCGTGGTAGTTATGATACTGACAAGACAATGGCAACTTATTAAAATAAAACTTGTCATATATCCGCGGGCAATACATAAGTTGTCGTCGAATATATGTTTTCGAGGACAATAATATATACGTTTAGACAATATTTATTCTGTCACGAGTGGTGACGACAATTTAGAAAAATTGTTCAACTGTTATATATTTAGGCGAAAAAAAAAGCATGTCTTCTAAGCATTTTTTCCAACGAAATTCAGTCTTGCCATAAGGTTCTCGTCTATTGTATCTTCCTAAATATGTTTGTATTTTTGTATCTTCCTAGAAATGTTTTAGGATCGTGACGCGATTGAAAACCCTTGAAAAGTTTCTAGAGCTAAGTATAGTAATGTATAAAACTTCTGTTACTTGCTCTACTTAACTTAACCAATTTTAGGTCTTAGTGCTTGTTATTGATTTGTAATTTTAGGAGACATTCGTTTGTAATTATGTGTAAAATGTGCGTCGTTGTTGTTTATTGTATTATACTTATCACGGGCTTTACTAGTGCAAGCCCCCAATATGCATTGCCATTTATTTAGGTTACTTAATGTTGTATCTTTATTACTATGGATGTCTATATTAGTATAGTTTTCGAAGGTGAGACCTTAAGATTAGTTATGGTTTTTATGAAAAACTTGACTTACTTTAA